TTTTTCGCATTGCATTGCTGCAAAAAACGCATAAAAACCACATGGAAAATGACAACACAGTATAACTTGCCAGAAAATCTTTTTAAAAATTTTTCTGATTTTGAGCTAGTAAAGAAAATTTGAAAAAATAAGTTAGTGCAGCAACCTTCGAGAATACTTCCAGTGTGTCCACCTGGCGAATGCAGTCCTTCGGCAGAGGTGAAATTTCAATCCACTTGTACGAGTTGCCAAAAACTTCACGCAGTGAGGAAGAGAGGAGACAGTGGCGTACAGCATACCGCTGAAATATAGCAGTTATTTTCTTTTCCCCTTTCTTTTTCGCCCTTCCATCTGCTCCCCTTGTCTCTCCTACCCTGCCCCGCTCTCAGTTGTTCAGCTCTAAAGAGTGCTTACCTTTAAAGAGTCAGCTACAGCTTTAAAATGCATAGATCCGGAAGGTATATCAACAGATAGGGCATAAGCTGATTTCTTTGTTTCGTAGTCTTTGAGCCTGACAATTGTGAAAGACGGTGAGCTGCTTTGGCCTGTAAGAAAGGGATACTAATAAGTGAATGCAGAGGAAGCGAAAAAGCAATTTACATCTCATTTACACTCCTTAATCCCACAAACACAACGTTTTCGACCTTTCTTCTCATTATTAAGCCCTGCGGCCGTCATACCGACGAGGTCCTGTCGCGTTGTTGAATTAAAACGTATATGACTTGGTGGACTAAAACGTCTTATCTTACTCTTGCCTTCTCTCCTATACTACTTCATTCTGAACTCCATCGCGTCCTCGTTATGCGCTTCCAGGGTTAACCTGAATGATGCAGTCTTCTTGCACATCCGAGAACGACGCGGTATGCGTTTTTTGATAATCTGCTGCGGGGTCATTGAAACTTTTCACCTCGTCGCGTTTCTAAGGCCTGTCCACCACGCATGCAACAAATTGAAGATTTACGGAAAATCATTTTTCAGGAAAATCATTATTACGGAAAATCATTTTTCAGTTTCTGTTTATCAGCGATCCTTACAACCTGTGTGAGTACAACCACACAGATATACTCATTCTTGCATAAATGCGACTCAGGCCGCGAGTAATTTAAGTGATTTTGATCCTACGAAGGTAAAATCACGCTGTGAAGTCCGTGATCGCACATGCTAAAATCACAAGGTTAAGATCTCAACATTTCTGTCTCTAAGAGAGGCAGAGATATTTGCAAGTGCATGGAAATATAGGACATGCTAGGCTCTTTTCCCGGGAGTTAGTTACAAGCAGGCTAACAGCGGATCCGATTTCCTGATAGGTGCCAGTACCAATGAACCATCGGAAAGAATTTTTGAATGACTTTTCTACTTGCAAAACCGAACCTTCGACCTTCCAATTGTGCCAGCA